GAAGAGGTAACCACAGGGAGAAAGTGGGAAGAGAGCTGTCACACTGTGGGGAATTGCAGTCCATGTCATGAGACAAAATGTGTATGAACTGCTATATGGGAAATGAATTTGCTTTGTAAACGTCCACTCAAATCACAATAATAAGAAAAATAATAATAAAAAAGCATGTGCTTCAACTCCTAGACATCAGCAAGCAATCACGTGTATCATGTTTCTTGAGGGCTGTAACATTATCTCTTTAATTTTCTTTTGAAAAAAATATGACAGTGCAATGCATCATGGCTCCCAAATGCAGCAAAACCAATGCTAGTGATAGCATCAGGAAGAGGCAAAGGATGAGTATGGATTTAGAAGTGAAACAAAAGATCATTAACATGAAGGTGGAAAAATCAGTGAAGGCTATTGCTTGAGATTCAGGTGTGTTGCCCCTGGACAATCATAACGATCATGAAAAACAAAGAAAAAATTCTCCAAGCTGTTAGAAGATCGGCCCAACTGAAAGCTATAACGCTAACAAAAAGCTAAGAGGGATTCATAGATATGGAGAAATTGCTAGTGACGTGGATTGAGGACCAAACACAAAAGCGAGTCCCTCTCAGCACAGTGAAGATCCCTGATAAGGCATGAAACTTATACAAGATGCTTAAAGAAAAAGCAGGACCAGCCTAGGATATGGTAGGCCAACGTCCAAATCACACAACATGCTATTTCACAGTCCTATGGTGTATGTTAAGAGAGGCATGACAGTAGTTCCAGCAGTTGTTCCAGAGTAGGTTCTGATTGGCCCAACTGGGTCACATGTCTAACCAGTCACGGTGTTTTTAATTGGTCCGGCTTAGGTCACATGCTCACCTTTAACACATGGGGTTGGAGTTGCTCCATTGGAACCTGAGGGATTGAGAGCTGGAGAATGGTAGTCCCTCAAAGGAAAATAGGAGTGCTGCTTCCAGAAGACAGGGAAGTGGATGCTGAGGGGGCAAGAAGGAGGTTCCCATTCACCATTTCCCACTTATTGCTTTACAAAAGGGGCAGGGTGAGGCTGGAACGCCCACCAGCGCCCATTCGAGTGCTGCCTTGAGCTTGGAGGCCTGACAGCTGTTGTCTTTGGGGTCTCAGCTGGGGCCCCCATGGAACTGAGGAAGAAAACTGCCCACTTCTCCAGCCCTGAGACCCAGCGGAAGGAGGACAAGCCAATGGAGGAACTCCGAGTACTTATCCCTCTTTCTCTTAGTTCCGCCTGACAGAACAGTCTTACAGGGGGGGTAATTCCACCCACCATCCAGACCGAGAAAACCTGAAAAATGTTGAAATATTTAGAGCTGAATAGGACTTGAGAAACCACTCAGTTCAATAACCTTCTCTTCCCTTCCCATTTCAACTATTTTTTTTTTTTTTTTTAAGTTAGGGATGGTTGTAGTTATTAAATTTTAATTAAGTCATTGAAAATATCTTTTTCTTATGGAAAAAACAAACACGATTTACCTAGTCAGATGGCAAATCTGTGCAGGGCACCTGTTGTGTGCTGGGCCCTGGTGACAACCACGAGGAAGGCCAACTGAGGTCCCTGCCCCGTGGGATGACCTTTTAATAAGGCCATCCCAAACCCAGACAAGTGTCACTAAAAAAATAAAACAGGGACCTGGGAGCAAAATGACTAGGAGACTTACTTTGGTTTTTTTAAATTGTTATTCATTTTTTTTTGAATGGGTGATAAATTCCTTTGGTTTAAAATAAAAATGTTACAAAATGGTGTACAATGAGAAGTGTTTCTTCAGCCCCACCTTCGGGGTCACTCCATTGCTTACCTTGGAGTGGCGCATCAGACAGGGGGCTTAGGGGAGACCTCAGCGGAGGGAAAAGGGACATTACAACAGACACCTGACAGAGAGGAATCCAGCCATGCAAATACCACAGGGAAAAGTGCCTCCAGGCAGAGGGAACAGCCAGTGTGAAGCCCTGGGGGCAGGATCAAACTGGCTTTTGCAGGATGTGGCTTGAGATGTCAGTGATCAACGAATCTCCCATCCATCTCACTGGTAATCAACACAAGGAGCTTGGAGTGGATTCTCCCAGATCTTTTCTCTGCATGTTGTCAGGTGCAGGGAATTGATTTTCACCTCATTGGGACCCTATGTGACAGCGCAGAACAGTCCCACAGGGTTTTCCAGGCTATCATCTCTAAGGGAGCAGATCCGTCAGCTTTCCCTGAAAAACTGCCCGGTGGGTTCAAACTGTCAACCCTTGGTTTGCAGATGAGCGCTTCACAGTTGCGCCACCAGGGCTCCTTATTCTACACGTATGCACATGCACAGGCACCTCTAGCAAATATATGATACCTTTGTTATTGCCTCAATGTTGTTCATACCGGAGCTCTGGTGGCATAGTGGATAAGGCACTTGACTGCTAACTGTAAGGTCAGCAGTTCATACCCACCAGCCACTCTGTGGAAGGACAATGAGGCCATCTACTTCCATAAAGATTTATAGCCCCGGAAACAGCTGTGAGTCAGAAAGGACTCAATGGCAGTAGGTTTGGTTTTTGTCTGTTTTTTTCATACCATACATATCGTTAGGGTATTTTTTTTTTTTTTTTCCACCTAACAGTATCAGAGAGATCTCTTCCACTCAACTACTCACTTCATTTTTTGTAGCTGCTGCCCAGAGGTGGGGTGTGCAATGGTTTAGCCGTCCTTTTGATGAACAGACTGTTCCTAATTTCTTGCTATGACATCATTGGTGCCACAAAGACCATTAAGCAGGTTCCTTGTGTACATATGCAAGGATTTTTCCCTAGTGCGGGTGATGGGTGGGATGGGGTTGGGGTGTCTCACTACTTAATTGTATGGCACTTGAACTAAGAATGGTTTCCACAGTTTTAAAACTCAAAAACTCACTGCCATGGAGTCGGATCCTATTCACAGCGACCCCTCCTTGGATTTCCGAGGTGGTATCACTACAAGGTTGTAAAAGAAAATACTGAAAACCAAAGTAGCATAGTGCCTAAGGCACTTGACTGCTAACCAGAAGGCTGGAGGTTCTAAGCCCACCAGCCACTTAGCGGAAGGAAGATGGGCAGTCTAGTTCCCTAAAGATTTACTGCCTCGGAAACCCAAAGGGGGCAACGACTCGATGCCAATGAGTTTGGCTTTGGTTTTAAAAGAAAAAAATATTATGCAAAAAAGGCCCCCCTTCCATAAAAAAAGAACAAACTCAAATTCACTGCCATCAGTAGATTCCGAATGATAGTGACCCCCACTGGGTTTCCAAGGCTGTAAATCTTTACAGAAGCAGACTGCATGGTCTTTCTTCCGCAGAGTAGCTAGTGGATTCAAACCAGGAATCTTTGGGTTAGCAGCCAAATGCCTTAACCACTACACCACCTGAGTTCCTGATGTAGCAGCCCACAGGGCCTAAAATATTTATTATTGGGACCTTTACAGAAAAAGTCTGCCAACACCTGTTCTATGCAGTGTGGGCAGCACCCAGCCGTGCCACGCTCCCATTTAACAGATGGGAAAGCCGAGACTCAGAAAGGAGAAAGGAGTTGCCCAAGGGCCCACAGAACCGAGGCCCTCTGCACAAATGTTTGTAGATTGCTGCTTGGAGTCTGGCAGGGCTTCGTGAAGCCCAGGAATGGTTCAACGCCCCCCAAAGAACTCCCACCCCTAGAAGACACGTGGAGAAACAATGACAAGTTAGGTGGGTCACGGTCCAAGGTCTCCCTAAGTGGAAGTGGCGTGGAGGAGGCGGTTACTCAGCTCTTCAGAGAATTTATGGCAGAGCTTGGCCTAGAAAGGAACTCCCCAGATAAAGGAGGGCTCAGGGCATCATCTAATCCGCTTCGGAGACATTTTGGTTTTACACTCACTCTTGGGAGCTCAGACAACAGGGTCATAGCCCAGAGGCCTCAATTTACCCATTAGTACGCCTCCACGCGACGACTTCTTAGGCGCCTACCGCTCTGCTAAGCGCTTCCACCAGACCCGGCAGCTCTCTCTGGAAGGGGCGTGGCCTCAAGGGTGACGTCACTCGGGCGGGGCCTGCGGGACCCGCTGAGAAGGCCTGGGAAGGTGTCGCGGCTCAGCCCCCAGGGGGCGCTTGGGGAAAGGGACTCCCAGGAGCAGATACCTAGCAGTCTCTTCACCTCCGGGCCCTCCAGGATGATCCCTCCATCCTCCGCGGGCAAAACCGAGTCCCGGCGGGGTGTGCGTAGGGAGGGGGCCGCACAGCGCCGTTCCCCAAAACCGCGCCCGCCTCCCCAGCCCCCACCCCCGTCCTCACCCCTCACTCCGACCCTGCGGCTGTGAGTCAGCCGCCGACCGCGCCCCCTCCGCCCACTTCCTCCTCACCTTCCCGGGGCAGGCTGGGCGGGCCGGGGTGGAGGCGGTGGGAAAGGTGGGACCCTACCCACCCATCCCCCTCCTGTGTGGGGGAGCGCGCTCATTCTCCGCCCGCCCCCCCAAATCACCGTTCCTAAATTGGCAGAGACGCTGCGGGCACCGAAGGTGGGATTTAAAGGGAGAAAATCTGAGAGACTCCGTGTTTAATCCGAGGCTCCGACCCTCTCCCCCAAAACTGAACAAGGAAAGAAATGGAGAAGTTGTGCCCCTATTTCGGTTGCCCTACGAATTTCCATACTGGGGGAGACCTAGGGCTCATGGAAGAATCCCTTGTCCTTCTATCAAGCTCCCCTCCCCAATTTGGGGTGACCCCCAGAGTGCATCCCTATGCCCTCACATTGGGGACGAGGCAAATAGCGGAAGTCGAGGGAGCCGCGTTGCCCTTTTAAGCGCCTTCCACCCCCCCACCAGCCTTGAGGAGGCCATGGCCCCTTTAAGGCGCGGGGTATTGTGGGTGCGGGGAGTGGAATTTTGGAACCAAATGTAGAGAAGAGAAGTACAGTAGTAAGAGTAACGCGGTAGCGGCCGCCAGCGGAGGGGGCGCGCCGGGGAGGGGACGCCGCACCCCCTTTCTGCCGCAAGGACCCCCATCGAACCCCAGGGGGAAGAGGCGCCCAAGGACCCGCCCGGCCCCGGCCACGTTCCCCCCCAGGAAGCCGGACTCTATGGGGCGGGACCCTGGGGGAGACTGAGCAGAACCAGCCCCGAACCCTTGAACCGCGAGCCAGGGGCGCCCCGGGAGCACGCACCCCGTGGGCGCACCGCCCGCCTGTGAGCAGCCATGAGGTGAGCCGTGAACTACCGCCGAGCCTTCCCCGCCCGGCGCGGGCTCCCCGCCCTGCCTTTGTCCCCCTCCCCCAGCTCGCTTGGGGCTGGAATTTGGGGGACCAGGCGCTGGGAGCCTTAGATTTGGGGCCTGATCACCTTGGATGAGTTCCAAATACTGGTTACCTCCCCATGACTCCCAAGGCTCTGAGTGCTATCGGTGAGGTTCTCCTGGGAGCCCTCAGATTTGGGGGCGCTCCGAGGACTCCCGAATTTTGGAGACTTTTTCAGGGACCTGCAAGTTGGCGGGCTCTCTCTGCAGGGATGGCAGGGTTTAGGCACAGCTCAGAATCTCCTCCAGACTTTAATTCAGGGTATGAGAGGAATGGTGGAGGGCTGGGTTGGGGGTTCTGGGGACCTGGGAGAGGGGTTGAGACGCAGACCCTTGTTAGCGGGGATCCCCTTTTACGGGGCGCTGCAAAAGTCTCCCCAAGTGCAACCGCGCTCTCTAACTTTAGGAGTACCTCTTAAGCCCCTAAATTTAGAGGGGTAACACGGAGACTTGTGGAGGAGGTTGGTGCGGACGGACTGACGGACCCAGACACAACCTTGAGGGTCTGGTTTGGACTCCCCTCCCCCGCCCCTCCGCACCCAAGATCTTCCCGAAACCCGCCGTGTGCTTCAGGCCGAGCAAGCGCTCCGCTCGGTGCAGAGGGCGGCTCCCCGGCCCGCTCCAGCAGGGCGGCCCTCGCTCCCCCACCTGCGCGGCCCTGGGGAGGGAGGGGGCGCAGCAGCTGGGGAAAGGGGGGCCTTTGTCTTCCTAACTCACCTGTCGAGACAGCTGGTGTTGGGGGGCGGGCCCGGAGCGCGGTGGGCCGGCTGCTCTCCCCGTCCCCCAGGCCCCCCACCCCACGCTACCCCATCCCATCTTCGCCTCGAGGAGGGGGGCGCAGGAAAGCTTCAAGGTCATAGCCCTCTCCTCCTGGGATCTGGCTTTGCAGAGTTCCAGCTATCATCCCAGGGATTTAATTCTGGGGGTGAGGGGCTCACGCAACCCAGGATGTGTATCTTCGCGGGGCGTCCCCTAAAACTCCTGGGCTCACCTGAGGGCGGGGCTAGTGTGGGGGCTGGGGCTAGGGGTAAGGGCTCACCACCCCCCATAACCTCTCCCTTGGGGCGGGAGGCTGACTGTACTATCTCCCTTCCTCCACCCTCTGAGACTTCCTGCCCCAAAGCCCCCAGTCTAAAGGGGAAGGCCCCAGAGGAGGGCTGGGGATTAACCCCCTGCTGCCCGCATCCTCCCACTTCCTCCAAACCCCTGCCTCTGAAATGGGGTCGTGGTGGCATTCAGTGTTTTGGCCATTGGAGAACTCCCTTCTCCCCATTTGTTTCTCCTGCTGGGAAAGAGATGTTGGAAAATTGAGAGCAATAGGGCACCCACAGACACTCTCAAGACTTCCTGCCCAGTTTGCACCCATTACAGCAACGTCCCTTGAGGTCTGCCTGGAGAAGGGGGCAGTTTGCGGTCTTCCTTCACCCTCTTCCCCTGGGACGGGACGCGGCTCTCTCACTGCCCCCAGCCCCGCCTCTCGTCCCCCCTCAGGCGCGTTTCCGGTCTCAAGGAAGGCGGATGGCGGATGTCCGAGTTACTGCTGCCTCACTCGCTGTGAGACCGTAAAAGGGCAGGAGAGGCTTCTGGGCCGGCCTCCCGCCCTCCCCCCAGCCCCTGAAGTCCTGGCCCTCACACAGGCCCCCTCTTGCTGTGGCATTGGCCAAACATCCCACCTCTGGGTGGGGCAGAAGTTGAACCTATCCCACTAGAGGGTCACTCCCACCTCCTGAGGGGTCTCCCCCTAGGGTGGCCACACCCACCTTCCCTGGCTCACCTCCTCTCCCAGGATAACTAGGATTCGACTGGTGGCCTTGTTCCCAATTGGGGAAACTAAGGCTCAGACAGAAAACCCAGATAAGGCCCCCCAGCAGATCCTGGGCATTTGGGCAGGAGTGGGGTGAGTGGGTGGGTAGGGAAAGGCTGGGATCCAGTCTTCTGGTTTCTGGATGGTTAAGCTGAGGGCAGTTGGAAGAGAATGTGAAGATGGAAAATTACAAAATATATTTCTCTTTCTCTGAGTTTGACAAATACTTGTTGAGTGTCTCCTGTGTACAAGGACTCTGAGCTGGGATTCTGGGAGGGCTGGGAAGGGGCGTGCTGAGATCTGAGAATCTCCAAAGGGGAAGAAAGGATCAGGAAGAATTTGAGCCCATGTTTTCTTCATTCACCAACAGTAGTTGTAGTTCCAGGCAGTCACCAAAAACAAAAAAAATAACCAAAACTCACTGCCATCGAGTGGATTCCGACCCATAGTGACCCCATTGGGTTTCCAAGGCTGTAGATCTTTTATGTTGGCTTGTCCGTGGAGCAGCTGATGGGTTTGAACCACCGACCTTCTGGTTAGCAGTCACATGCCTTAGGCACTGCACCACCAGAGCTTCTTACAGTCAGTCATCATCACTTACAGAATCCAGCTGACTTAAAAGACTTACTGATCCCTCTTACTTACCTTTTTCTTTATGTTGAAACCCTTGCACCAATGGATACTGCAACAAATTCATTATAATCGCTTTCACTTGCATGTGCAGGTTTCACATCATTGTAAAAATCATTGCAGTCTTTTCTTGCACTCAAATTAGGCTAAATAAGAACCCTAAGTAGCTGTTGGGACTCACTTAAAAGTTCTGTACAGTGCTGGGTGCCTGATTCAGTTTAATCCTCAGGACTGTTGTAAGACATCGACACTGTCACAGCCTCGCAATTGCAAATGGGAAGACAAGCACAGAGACCTTCAGCCCACTTCCTGTTAAAGTCAGTCTCACTGTGGCCAAGTCTGAATTTGAACCCAGGCCGTCTCCAGATGATGACACTATTACAATAGAGGAAAATAATGTTTATTTGTTTAAAGTACAAGTAACACTCTGGCTGTCACTAACTAACTTCACTGCCCTAGAGTCAGATCGACTCATAGCAACCCCTCCTTGGGTTTCCGAGGTGGTATCATTAGGGAAGTAGATTCCCCAACCTTCCTTCTGAGGAGTGGCTGGTGAGTTTGAACGGCCAGCCTTCTGGTTAGCAGTCGAGTGCCTTAGGCACCGTGCCACCAGAGCTCCCTCTTTGGCTGTAGGAACACTTATATAAACAAGAAACCCGGAAGGGGAACTTTACCTTCCTGTTCGTTTATGGGAAACTGAGGCCGGTAGAAAAGAAGGGACTAGAGTGAGGCCGCACAGGGCTGGGACTCTGGGTCTGGCTTCCTACACAAAGTTGTTTCCGCTCCAGGAAGATGGTGATTTGGAAACTTTGGGGTGAGGGGGTGTGGGGGAGGGTCACAAGTTTATGGTATAAAGTGGCTGTGGGGTAGGTTTGGGGGAGGGGGTGGAGGAAAGGGCAAGACTCCAGACTGGAAAGTGTGTGGTGTCACTGTCCTTGATTACCTCCAGTGATGGGAGGCTCTCTCTCTTCTTTTTTACTATCAATTCCCATGTATGGAGGGTCCTTAAATTTATTCCTTACAAGAAACCCAATGCATTATGGTTTTCAGAGTGAGAAACAGAGATTCAGACAGGTAAAGCCACACAGGAAGGAAGTAACTTGAACCCTCTGTCATCCACCAAGTGGATGTAGGCATTGGGGGGGCGGGGTGAGGAGTGGGTCCTAGGCCCCAGGAGACCATTGGCATCAGCCAGACTGGGTTTCAGTCTCCCTCACTTCCGGGCCGTGAGATTGTTATATATGAAGGAGCTCTGGTAGTGCAGTGGTTGAAGCATTGGGCTGCTGACTAAAAGTTTGGTTGGAATCCAGCAGCGACTCTAGGGGAGAAAGATGAGGCAGCCTGCTTCCGTCAAGATGTACAGCATTGGAAACCTGATGGGGCAGTTCTCTGTCCTAAGGGTCACTATGAGTAGGAAGTAACTGGATGGCAGTCGGTTTGTTTGTGGTAATGAATTGGTTTTATTGAGGTAACACTAGTCCAAGGCAGGGGGTATGGAGAAAGAGCGAGGGGGGGGGGGAGAGAAAATGATAACCAAGCAATTCAGATGGGTTCCCCCTGGTCCCCTCAGGCAGTCACAGCTAGTCTCCTGAGCAGCAGTCTTGGGATATGCTACCACTCTGTGTACCGATGTATTTATATCTTCCCCACCTTTTTTTTTGTTGTTGTTGTTAAACCTCTGATACACACCACTTTGTCTCTTGCCATTTTAAAATTTAAATAAACGTAGCTGTTTTCTCATTTTCTTTAAATGGGGTTAAGAACCCTAGGGGGAAGTTGGGAAAGACCTGCGTTCAAATGTGAGCCCCTCTGCCGACTTGCTGTGTGACCTAGGGCAAATGTCTTCACCTCTCTGGGCCCTTGCTGCCTCATTTCTCAGAAGAATCAGTGTCAGGGTCCATCTCATAAGGTGGTTGTGAGGTTTAGTGTGGACACTGGCACAAAGCACCTAGAACAGGGTCCGGGACACAGTTTAACTGATGATACCAGCTCCCTTTGGCGGTGAGTTTTTTTTGTTGTTGTTGTTGTTAAGAATTATTATTATTTTTTTTAAGAGATAGATGTGTTTGGTGTTGTTAGCTGGTGTTGAGTGGATTCTGACTCATGACAACACTGTGTGCACAGAACTGTGCTCCATAGAGTTTTCAAAGCTGTGATATTTCAGAACCAGACTGCCAGGTCTGTCTTCCACGGCACTTCCAGGTGGATTCAGACGGCCAACCTTTCAGCTACTAGCTGAGCACCAGAAGGCTGGTGGTTCAAACCCACCAGCCACTCCTCAGAAGGAAGACGGGCCAGTCTACTTCCATAGTGATACTGCCTCGGAAACCCAAGGACGGGTCGCTATGAGTAGGGTCCGACTCAACGGCACATAACAACAATAGCTATGAACTACCTACTGTGTGCTGGGCACCATTCTAAGTTCTGGGGACATAGCAGTGAACAAAAGGCACAGAGCCCCATGCCTTTGTGGACCTGACATTTTGGTGGGGAGAGACCGACAAGCATAACTTGTTTCAGGTAGGGGTGGGTACTGTGAGGAAGTGTGTGACCAGATGGTCAGGGAGGGCTTCTTGGGAAGAGGTGACATCTAAGCAGAGCCCCGAGGGCGGTGAGAATACAAGCTTGAGGAAGAACAGGTGCACAGGCCCTTAGGCAAGAGCGTATCTCTCCCGGTGAAAGAGCAGCTTGGAGTCTCATGGGGCTGGAACAGGGCTAGTGAGCAGGAGAAGGAAGAGAGGGAATTCAAGGGCCCTTGGGGGCAGATAATGGAAGCTGGGGTGAGGACCTGGCGGCTTTGACCCTCCCAGAGCCAGAAGCCATGGGAGTTTACAAGAAGAGGAGGGGCAGGATTTGACTGGAGTTTAAACAGGATCCTTCTGGGCTTTGGACAGAGGCAGGAGGACCTCAGGGTTGCCCACGGCTGGCGCCCCGGCTCTCGGGCCAGAGACTCAGTAGGGCAGGGCCACCGGGGAGAGCAAAGTGCAGCCAGGGCAGGGCACCAAGGCAGCCCTGGCCACCTGGCCAGAGTCTGCCCTGGGTGTGGGTGGCAGGTGTGGGCGAGG